CAGAGCATCCCAGAACACCCCAGAACACCACAGAGCACCCCAGTGCACCCCAGAGCACCCCAGAGCACCCCAGTGCACCCCAATGCACCAGTCCCAGCAGCCTGCGCTGGCACCCCGGGGGTGGGGGGGCAACAGCCAGAACAACACCCCCCAAAAAATAATATCCGAACAGACGGGCTGTCTGGGACGCAAGAATTGCAAAAACAATCCCCACCCCATCACAGAGAGTGTGTGTGCACGGAGGAGAGGGAGTGTGAGGAGGGGGGAGAGAGGGAATGAGACAGACAGAGGGGAGGGAAGAAGGGAGGAGGGAGTCCAAGCTCTGAGAAACATCACTCCATCTCTCTCTCACTCCACAGGAGCTGAGCAAGGAGCAGGACGATGTTTGACAACACGCAGTACCCCTATAACTGCTTCAATTATGATGGGGATGATTATCCTACCTGTAGTTCTGACGAAGAGAAGAAATTCACCAGACCAGCGTACAGGTAAGATGAAGTTTTTCCAAGTCCCCTGTCTCTGGTGAGGATTCTGAGCTCTGGGCTGGTGGGATCACAGCTCTCAGGGGAGCAGGGGGCCAGGTGTGTGCAGTGGGGCTGGCCCTGGTGCAGGCACTGCAGTGGGCAGATTTCCCCCCTTTCTGTGCCTGAAGTGTTCATGATTTGTTCCCTCCTATGAGGGGTCACAGCAACTCTGGCTGCCCTTAAGCCTCCAGATCTCAGACAGTCTCCAAGCTCCAGGGCTCTCCCTGGGAGAAGGGAATTAAATGTTTCAATGTGCCAAGGGGTGAATTGGATGCAGAGAATCCCAGTGTGGTGGGAAGAGGCGCGGTGTGGCTGCTCACAGGGACACCCAGCTCCTTTCCCCGAGCAGGGCTGGTCTCCAGTGACAGTGACTCTGAGCCTGCTCTGTCTCACTCTTCCTGCCCAGGGAAACTTTTCAGACGGAGCTGGAGAGGTGTGTGATGCTGTGCTCTGCACTGGGTGCCAGGGCAGGCAGCCCTGGGGACTCAGTGCCTGGCAGTGACCCCTCTGTGTCACCTGGGGCTGGAGGAGGACAGGCAGGGACGTCCCACGCTCAGGATTCTCCCTGGGACACCTCGGGTCAGGGTGCAGAGCCACCAGGGGAATTTTGGAAGCAGGATACAAGCACACATGCACCCGTGTGGTCCTAAAAAAGGAGTCTGTGAGTAGGGCGATGGTGTAACAGCAAGTTTTCCTTTTTCCAGCTACATTGCCTTAATTGCAATGGCCATCCAGCAAAGCCCTTCAAATAAAGTCACCCTCTCTGGCATTTATGACTTTATAATGAAGAAATTTCCTTACTACAGATCAAATCAAAGAGCCTGGCAGAACTCCATCCGACATAACTTATCGCTTAACAGTTGTTTTGTGAAGGTAAGATCAGTTACTGTGTATTTACATACACACTGTGCATGGCTAAAAAAATATAGGCAGCAATAATCTCATCACTGGGAAAGAAGGGAAACAAACAGCTGAGCTGCAAATCACTTAAAATCTCTCTGAGTTGTCAATTACAGAGATAAGGAATATATCCTTGTCTGATGTATGCTAATAGATAACAAATTGAAGAGGATGGGGCTTACATCTTACTCATATAATGACAGAGAATAAGTTTAAAAGTCTTGTCATATGTGTTTACACCATTCTTAAATGTAAATGAATGCAGATGCTGAACAGCAGCATCTGTAACACATACAAACACTGAACTGCCTTTAAATAAATACAGGTCCCCAGGACAGAAGGGAATGAGAAGGGGAAAGGAAACTATTGGAGCTTTGCAGCAGGATGCGAGTCCATGCTGGATCTCTTTGAAAATGGGAATTACAGGAGAAGACGGAGGAGGAGGAACGTGAAAAGGGAACACAAGGAGCAGAGACCCAGCAGAGTGAAAAGTCCTTCGTCCCCCAATATCTCTTCTGTGGACTCTGCTTTGAACAACATTTCCTCTTCTGAAAGCAAACATGAAAGAATTGAACCGGGTGCAAAACTTCTGGAGCCTTGTGGGTTTGCTCCAAACAGCGTGACCAACAGGCAGAGCCTGAGCAATTCCTCCTTAACAAAATCGGATTCTGAAATCAAATTCAGCATCGATTACATCCTTTCAGCCCCCGACCCTTTGCCTGTCCTGAGATCTCAATATAACATGCAAGAAAATAAATATCACCTACTGGAGGCCCCGCATATTAATCTCCAGTTCTGGACAATGTGATGTTATTTATTTGTGGTAACAAAGTCTGAGTCACAGCGTGTTCAGCAGCCTCATGTCACTGAAAATCAGCTGCCTGCCTCCTCGTTTGCCTCCCAAGCAGTGCTCAGAAAGGGTTACAGACTCACCAGCTGATGCTCTGTCTGTACCCAAAGAACTTTGCTGAGATTAAAGCATAAATAACTGTTACCAATATCGCTTTTCACCGTGCTGAAATTTATGAAATTCAAGCTTTATTTTTTAAACTGTCTTGGACGTCATTTAGCACCACAAAGAATTTCCTTTCTCAAGCAGAATCTGACAGAGACTTGCTTATCGTCCACTGCTTTATTAAAGACAAAGTGAATTTGATCCCACTTTCAGTGGTGGAAATTAGGATTAACTCCACTGGAGTATATAGGTCAGAACTTAAGCTGATCTAAAGCAGTGTAATTCAGTCGACTTACACTGGCTGGGAATGTAGGGGGGTGGGGGGTGGAAATTTGTTTCTTAAAGGGAATTATAGAAAATCACGCTGTCTTCCCTTATTTTTTCTTTTAACATCATGTTTCAAACTGTTTTGCAGCTTTAACTCATTGTTCATTAGGAAATGTAGTTATTGAGAAGTATTTCAAGTATGATTTGTTTATATTTGGAGCAGAATTGTTTAAATTGTTGAAGTGAAGTTGTATTCAAAATAATTCCAAGAGACTTAGTTACAAGGATGCTGAACTCTGGTAGACTTTGATAGGTAATATGACAGTCAAAGATCTCTTAATGCCTTGGTTGAAAAAAATCCCAACACCTTTTCCCTTATACTATCAGAAATCTTCCTGAGATGCTGCAGAAAATTCCTTGACCATATTTCATTTAGCAAGTGTGAAGGGAAACCTGGCACTGCAAAAAGCTCTGCCGAGTGTCAAGCAAAGCAAAAATTCCACCTGCCTGCTCTGAGACAAGTTGTATATTCCCATTAAATAGATTTTTATTGATCCTTCTTGCAAGCAATTACCAAAATGGTGCTTGATATGATTTCAGCTAAACTGGTGAGATTTATAATTTCCAGATATCAATGTTAGCTCATGAGCTCCATTTCTGAGAAAGCCACTTCATTACCATTTACATGAAGTGGGAGATTTTGGAACAGAACCTGATGGACAATGATGAACTGTAATGAGCTTTTAAGAAGTTGCTTTTATACAACTTGTTCACAATTAATTGCTTCCCAGAACATAAACAGCATTAACAAAGGCATCACAAAATCCTGGCTTTGGCTTGACTACTACAGTCTTCACCTACTGCAGATAAAAGGCAAAAAGACAAGAATTCCAATGGTTTTAAGCAATTAAATACAGAGATAAAATTATCTTTGCAACAGGAACTAAAGGTAAATGAAGGTATATGAGATAAGATTGAGCACAGAGGTATGCTCAGGCATGACTTGAATTTTTATGCAGAAGCTTTGACATTTCACTAAGTTATTTTACATTGTGTCTAATATATATTGTACATTTATACTATATATTCTTATATATTGTTATTGAGAAAGGGAGCAATATCACTGCACTTATATGTTGTAAAAATGCATGATGTATGTTGTCATGATGCTGAAACTCCTGCCATATACTTAAAATTTACCATCAGTGGTATTTCACACTGATTGGTAATAAATGCCCATTTTTTGGAAAACTGTAAAACTTGTTATCTTCAGGCATTTCTACAGCATGCAAAAGTATTTGCTTCTTCTTCAGAAAAGAGAAAATGGAAAATCATGTCAATTGCATCACTGCATGTCTTCCAAACTTTGAAGGGATGATTTCTTGAGACCAAATTCTGCCTTCAGATGGGAGCTTTCAATTCTCTGTTATTCTAGGCGAAAATCTGAAAGCAAAATTTGACCCTTTAGACCTGATTGATCTGCTGTTTTACATTGATACTAGAAAAAGAAGAAAACCTCGGGGTGGGGGGGACTGGACAGATGGGTTCTCATTTGAAGAGGGATGAGAATTTGCTCCTTTAGTGTTTATGCTCAGTAGTAAATAGGTGTGGGAAGAGCATGTCCTCACTTAGTGCTTCAGTGTTTGCATGCCCTCACTGTGGGTGGGTGCTTGTGCACCTCTGGGATCCTGCCTACAGATAAATACTTGTGTTTTATATGCAGATTCTTTTTCCTGATTGTTTTAAACATGGCAATGCTGCTGTCGGGCTGATAGTTATGGTACACACCTGCAGTATATTTGAAATACATATTTTCTGCTGTGAAACATGCAAGTATGATTGTTACTATGTGTTCTTGGTTGATGCTGTTAACAAGAGATAATTCAGTGACAGCAAAAGTTCCTCCTGAGCAGCCCCTGGGTAGGGTGAACCCTGTGGGTTCTGAGACCAGTGCAGAAGCAGTTTATGGTTTCTAATCAATGTGGAATTAATGCATTAGGAAAGGCAGAAATACACCCAAGTGGATTTACAGCAGGGATCCAAAGCCATTTTCTGTAAGATGAATTAATATTCACAAATAGCATGTCCTTTGCTCACAGTAAAGTGCCTGCTAGGAGAGACTGACATACTTTAGTTTCCCTAACATATAATCAAAGAAATTTGTGTACAAATAGGTGTTAACATTTGTTTTGCAAAGGATATCAATCATATTTCGAAAAATGAAGGGACATATTTCAATTTACCCAGTATATTATATTCTGACGACTCCAGAAAGGTTTCCAGCAGTTAAAGTGAATGGCATTTAATATAGAACAACATAACAGGGGTGAGGGCTAGACGTGACCTTATTCAAATGTCGTAGCCATTACAAAGCCATTCCCAATGTAATTATAATTAAATACTTTATGCCTTTCTTGCAAATCCTCTGATCGATCATTGATATTAACATTAATATTGTATTACCCCCGAGCAAATATCTCCCACACAAGTGTTATGGATCACCAGGTTTCCATTAACAAAGTTGTGAGCTATTGCCGTGTGCTGGTCGTGGATAAATTTACGTAAATTACTTTTTCCCTGGGAAGGGGGGGAAAAGTCCGGTTTTCTTTCTTCTCTGAATCCAGAGCTATTTCTTCAGCTCCATCACAGCCTGCCAGCCACTTGCATGAAGGAAAAAAAGAAAATCTCGCAGGAACATCCCTCTTTGCCCTGTGTAGAAGCAGGTGAATATTCTCCCGTTTGGCACCGGCGTTCAAAGCTGAGCTGAAGCCAGGGATGAGCAGGGCAGGGCAAGGCTCTGCACCCTCCAAGAGCATCAGCGGGCTGGGCAGGCTGGGAGAAAGTGCTTGGCTCAATTCCTCATCTCATGGCACCTTGCTGGCTGCAGAGAGGGGCCCAGAATGAGCCATGGATTTGCTCAGCCCAGCAGAGGAGCCTGGCGTGGGGCTGACACTGTCCCCAGGCTGGGCTGGGACAGGGGGAGGCTGTGGGACAGCAGCTCAAGGGACAACGAGCCCTTAGACCTCTCCCTTCAGCATCATAAATACCTTTGCAAAGGAAAGATGAAAGGTTCCTTTCTGGGGAGAGGCAAGGCTTGGCCTCACTGAGGGACCCTGGAGGGGGGTTGTTTGTTTATCCTTCTAAAGGAAGGCTTCCCATGACAAAACAAAGATTTTGATGGAGCCACGCCAGGTTATTATGCAGTGATTACACTTCTACTGATTTAATTTCTTAGGCTTTTGCCATTGGTGTCACAGAAGGTGGTTTTTGCACTGTGAAATGATGGTCAGCCTCAGAATGAAGTTCAGAGTATTTGGGCAAGGATGCAAGGATGCATCTTTTCTCCCCCACAGTGGAGAGAGGCCAGATAACACGGAAGGCAGGCCAGCAGCTGACCTCACTGACAGGCACCTCTTCCTCAGCAGAACCTCCTGCACATTATGGGAGCATTAATGCAGACTAGGATAGCTGAAAACAAACCTTTTCTTTGTCAGTAAACCAAGTTCCCCTATTTTTCTCCCAATCAGAAAGGTCTTATTAGTCTCTCTCAGTTGAGACCCATTGACTCCTCCTATAAAGAGAAGCTGTGCTCAAGGAGCATTTGAAGGTCAGCCCACACTGGAGAGCTGGCTGTCCCCACGCCTTTGCTTTGTTGTGCTCCATCCTATGGTCTGAATTGCCACAGCAATTCCTCAGCCACACAGCAGGTTGGTTTCCCCCTCAAAACCAAATTGAGATTTCTGCACTGTTTTCTGTTCACAGAAGGTTTCTCTTTTGGCTACCACTTGCCTGTTCAGGTCCAAATCTTATGAGTCTTTCCCACTCTCTAGCAACAGAGGACACAGTGAGAGGGGAAGGGGTTTGGAGGGAAAAAAAGCCTCGGGGAAAAACTCTGCTACACATCTTCCAGTAGTACAGAGCTGATATCTCAAGGACTCGTGGGGTTGTGTGTCAAGGCTCTGCTGTAAATTAAGGGCAGCAATACCCCAAGTCCAACTGCACTCAAGCTCAGGGAAAAGAAGGAACCTCCAGCACAGACCCCTGAGCACGCAGGGAGCTGAACTTTGAGCTCTGGCAGCGTAACACAAATCCCTGTCTGTGATCAGCCCTTCAGAGCCCCAAGTCAAGACATGGAAATCCTGTGCTGCTCATTCCAGCTGGCCTCTCCCCTCTCTGCCTCTTCTGGGCCATGTTCTCCTCCCTGCTGTGAGGGTGTAAATACTTGCAAATCCATTAACTTTGGTATAATTACCTCTGGAATTGAAATAGTGCATGTGAAACCGACCTTTGCATATTATACCCAACATCTCTCATCTCACAGTGTGCAAAACTGTGCCAGCACCTCCTCTCCTAGATAGAATTCTCAGAGCAGCAAATGGTCCTAACCTCTTTATTTTGCCTCAGCATCAGCTTCTAATTTCTTTCTCCAGAACGTGGGTACCATCTGCACTGCTCTGCACAAAGAACCTAGTCTCTGTCTCTGTTTTATTGGGAATGTCTTTCTTTTTGCACTTAGGGTCATTAAATTAAAGAACAGGGTAGGTCCAAGTCCTATGGAACTTGCACTGGAATCTTTTTTACCCGGA